GAAAAATACATGCCATTAATATCTGTAAAATAAGAAACTTAGCCAATTTTTGTTTAAATGAAGGATTGCAGAATTGAGTACAACCTAGATTTAATTCAACCAAGTGTAATATTCTAGAACTGTGATCCTCAAATCTGGCGCGCGAGATCCACTTTCCTGCAGAGTTTAGCTCCGACCCTATAATCAAACAAACCTACCTGTGATTTTCTAATGAAATTAGATCCGAAATGATTGAATTGGTCTCATGAGACCAGAGTATGGATTCCCAGAAGTCTAAATAAGTCCATGAGTATGATTCAGTGGGCCATATAACACGTATTTATCAAAAAATGACTTACCTTTAATAGTTTTGGTTCAACATACTTACCTGTTGATCAATACTTGCCTTAACCTTACACCAGAATTTTTTTTTTTTTTAAGTTTTATTTAGTAACTTTCAGGAGGGTGTACTCATTTTTGCAACACAACATTTGATCACTTTGATAAGAAAATTGTCAAATTTGTACCCTATGCCAAGGGTACAAAAGCTGTACCCTTGGGGGTACAGCCCCAGTGACAAGCCATTGTACCCCTAAAGGTACAATTATGTACTTTAATTTCTGAGAGTGTAACTGATCAAGCAGACTTGCTGGAATATTATATCTCTAAAAAACCATAACATGTCTTCTAAGCAAAGAGTAATTGCTGAATTTGTTAAGTTTCAGAGGGGGTGTACTCATTTATGCTGTGCACTGTATATATATATATATATATATATACAGTATTTAGCCCTGGACTCATATACCGCCAAATCATAAGTTATATGAAAAAATGTGTACAAAGACCGAAAAGTCCCATGTCGTGAAGAGATTTTTAGGTAGATATTTTAGTAGGATGGTGCAGCATCAGTGTGAGGAGGAGGGTTTCAGGGTTGCTAGTGTAAGTATACTCTCGAATGCGTCCGTGGGCGACTACTGCGGTTAACATGTCGTAGCTCAGTAATGATCATATGAGAACAAGAAAGGGGAGAAAGCACAGATACATTTTAGCTCAGTCATTTGTGTTTTCCGCAGAAACAGTGAGACATCTTTTCCTTCGGTCGGTACCAATAACCAGAGAGGTTGGTAAGTAACCACGTGGATAAAGGGCACCATTGGAGAAGAGTAACGTGGTGCAAAAAGATGCGACAAGCACTTTGAGTTGCATTGTAAGAGCCCCTTCCCCCTCCCCTCCGAAACCACACTCTATCGCTGTAGGCCCCTATCACACAAAAACATCTCACAACAACAGCATCGGTGGTTTCTCTGCATACAGTTGTTGTATGTACCCTACGCTCGAGGCTCCTATACCATAGGGTGCTATTTTTTTAATGCCTCTGCACTCTTCTCCTTTATCTTTCGTTGAGGTTGGGATCTTTGAGCTCCTATAAAAACCCCTGAAATGCAAGCAGGTGGTATAGAGGGAGGAGATGAGCTGCTTTCTGTGGGAGAAAGTCACTTTATGGAGGCACAAACTCAAGTTTTATTGACTACAGAATATTTTTATTTTTAAAAGGTCTAAGGGTTTTTAATTTTGGAAATTCTGCATTATTGTCTTTTGGCTTATTGTGTTGTCTGTTGGTTGTGGTAGGCCAACAAATTTGTTTTACTTCTAAAGAAAAGTGAAAGCTTGAACAAAACAGAAAAAAAGCAGATAGGGAGCAATGAAAACTGAGAGTCACATCATGGTTTGTGGATAGACTTCCTCTGACTGATGGATTGACCTTAAAATAACTGCTGAGATAAACATTTTTTACAGAGACAGAAAAACAACATCAAAATATTGTATTAAACCTATGCGTGCTTTGACAAATCTCATGTTATGCTTGCATTTGAAATATCTTTAAGCGCCTGCATTGCCAAAATGTGATGACTTCCTGTGAAAACGTTACCACAAACAGGTTGAGCAGACAAGGCAAATGATCAAACTGGCGTGCCTTGCCATCCTACGACCGTTACCACAGGGCTCATATGTCTGGGAAAAAGTGCGCAGCCACATTCACAAGACCCCAGCGAGGAAGTTGAAAGCATCGAAAGTGACTGAAAAAAAGATAAACAGATTGAAAGATTTGAATTGATCTGAATCATATTCAAATGCGGTCAACAGGGACAAAATAATGACTTCCTTTTTTATTCATAATCTTGACACTTGTTCTGACATTTACAGCTTTTAATGGTATGCACCAGGCATGTTAAATTCACACATGTTCTGACATTTACTAGATGCTGTTCATGCAGCGTTTCAACGGATCTAAAATTTATCAAATTAAGCACAACTTTGATATCATTTTACACATCAGTCCAATAAATAAGACATTAATATTGAATTACTTACATTTTATACATTGTATTGCTAGATGATTTGTGTGTTTTTGCCACGCCAACGAAAACAGAGCTAAAGGAGCCACACATAATTTCTGAATGAATCAGTTGAGAGAATGATTCAATGATTCACTCACATACTTTTACAGCCTTTTGATTCATAATCTTGACACTTGTTCTGACATTTACAGCTTTTAATAGTATGCACTGGGTATGTTAAATTCACATAATAGCCTATATATTTTAAAACTGACATTTGCTAGATGCTGTTCATGTTTTAACTGACTTAAAATTAATCAAATTAAGCACAACTTTGATATCATTTTACACATCAGTCCAATAAATAACTTACATTTACATAGTGTATACATATATATATATATATATATATATACATAGTATTGCTAGCTACTTTGCAAAAACAGCGCTAAAGGAGCAACACATAGTTGTGGCGTTTAATTCCTGAAGAAGCCCGTTGAGAGAATGATTCAGTTATTCACTCACATAATGACAGTCAACTTTCAGAAAGATTGTTGTCACTGAAAAATCCCCACCACTAATGCACAGACTGATGACTAATGACAGTCTGTCAGGAACGCGAACAACACAGACGAGCAGAGTGATACAGTGAAATACCCCCTAAGAAAAGTAACTTAGCAATGCTGTTAAAGTTCCGCTTCACCAATCTAATTCGAGGACCATCACTGACATGTCAGGGACTATATATTTCTAGCGAAATTATGAAATGAATGGATTGTAATAGCCATTTAAGTTCAAATTAATATTTTTTATGTAGAAGCCGTCATATAAACGTAATAAGAAGCTTGAAGACCCTGCTGCTCGTAACTAACAACATATTTTAGCCGTGAACTTTACTCACAAGACTTCATTTAGCATCATTAACTGTAATGATGATCTAAAGGATGAGTTCATGTGCGTGCTTTATCAAAGTTAAAATTAAATTAATAAGTGTGATATTTTGGAGCATAAAAATAAAGACCGAATAAATGGGTGTGATTTGCTTTTAAAGGTGCGAGTTTCGTGCCACAAATAGCATGCATGGTATATTGTGAGACAGTGCAAAATCGTACTTACTGTTTGAGTGTCACTGAAAAAAAAAGCAAATTATATGAGGATATTTGCAAAAACAGACAACTCTGTTTTTAACAATTGTCAAAAATCATGTTTTTTTCATTGTGCATTCCAATTAATCTCAAACTGCAGTTGGGTTATTTTGATTAGGCTAAAAAATAACAAAAAAAATGCAGCAAACGAACACAACAAAACACAATAAAAACATAATAAAAAAAAAAAACGTTTTTGAAAATTAAAAAAAAAAAGTTATCCGTTTTTGCAAATAAACTCTTCATATATGAAACATATACATAATGTCTAACTCTGATGTACCAGCAGTTAAAATGAGCAATCATTTAGATAAAGGCATGCAATTTTTCAGAGCTTTGACTCAACTCCAAATATGGTCGGTAGAGGGCAGTAAAAATAAATAAATAAATAAAATCAACCCTTGCTTAGAACATAAAAACCAAGCGACTGTGGCATTAAAACTCTTTATGGTCAACGTAAAATGAATGGTCAAAAAAATATACAATACATTTACAAAATAACAATACAACTGAAAAATTGACAGTTCTTACTTTATTGGCGTTGAAAGAACTATTTCAATCCAGAAAGTTGTATCCAGAGAGTGATATACATGAGATGTGCAATACATGAGATTTTGACCGCTTTGTATAAACTTTGAAACCTAAAACTAAAACGTGAATTACTTATTTGAAACAAAATACGGTATCCTGAATTGACATGATGCACTATTCTCGCAGAACAGCCCATTCTGTTGGCAACATACAAAATAAGGGGAAAATCGGGAGATTGTATAAAATTGTACTTTTTTTTTTTTTGTAAACAATGCGTAGTTATTGCTATTTGATTACACAATCATTTACAGAGCTGTGTAAAGTATAAAGTTAAAGTAAATTGTGATAATTGCTTTCATGAAATAGTAACCTGGTAGCTTTGAGAATGTATTTCTGTACACCATAAAACTCATCCCAGTGTATATGACGCCTCTTTAGATACATTTCTTCATCATACTTGCACATGCCTTCCAGCACATTCTAGATTCCACCAACAAACAATCACAAGATTATTTATTTCAACAGAATATTAAATATCCCAGCTCAAACTCCTCTCCTCGTTCCCTCCGCTCCACATACTTCGACTTGTCATGGTCACTTTCACGATCGGCCACATTTGCTGGCCCTGTGATTCAAGGTCCCAAGTTTCTGCATCGGTTTCTTCAACACATGCGGAGAAAAAAAGCTTAAAAAGCCCCTGTTTGGAGAGTCCGATCCACTGGCAACAGCCACTGCAATGCAGAGATTTCCTGCTTCTTTTTGCTAGAGGTTGTGGGAATGAATCTTGGCAGCCGATTTTACAAGTTCACCTAGAAAAAAAAGCGCGATTGTGGCGTTGCTTCAGTGGGAGCCCATGTTTCTGAGATGAGACTGTGCTCCAGCACAAGCAAGGGAAATAAAAGACACTTTTCCATTACAAACACAAAGAAATCAGTGCACACTAATACAGATACATGAATACAGACACATACATCTCGCATTAGTGTTTCATGTCAGTAGCCCAAAACCCTCTTACTTTAATTTAGATTACACTTGTTTAATCATAAGAATTAGTCAAAGACAAACACATCCCAATCTAAATATAGTGTTTAAACTTCATATTTCAATAACCTTGCTTGTATAAAATGGGAGACCAGAGAGAACTGGTTGAGTGTTATAGAAGGAAAGTCAAAAGGCTGACAGCGTATTTACACCTGCATCATTTAGACTTATTTTCACCCTTATTGAAACAGTCTCAACACCACAGTTAGTTGGTCAGGGAGATTGTTCGTCTTGTTAAATGTCGATACTGTAAATCCCACACGTGTGGTGTTGTTAGTATGTGGGTTAGCAGATCTCCGATGGGCCGCTGCAGGCCGCTCAGAGTGAGACAGAGAGATTTGAGATGTCAGACCCGTGTGAGGAAGTGCAGGCTGAGGGAGGCCGGGATGTGTACGGTTTCCAGACTGAGCGCTGATGGAGTGTAAGGGAAGAGCACAGGGAAGGTGTATTTAGTGTCTACCAGCAGTTGGTTGTTTTCTATTCGATCTTGGAGGCGATTCTGCGAAAGGAGAAATGAGAGTATTTATTGGACATGCTCATTGAGAAGCCATCAAACACTGCAGAAAATACTGATCTTTCAGTAACAAGACAATACTAACTTATACCAGCTTTTGAATGCTTTCATGTGCATGTGGAAAAATAAATTCTGTTGAATGATCTAATACACTTCTTGTTTGAAAAGCCCTTCTAAGAGAGATGTTAAGAGACTTAAGTTGCAAGGAAACCAAATCAAATGTATGTTAAAATGTGGGATCTCCACTTCAGATTTTGTAGTGTAAACAGAACTAACAAGTGTGCAGCTATCTATACAAAAATGTATTTAAAATTAGTCAATTTATAATTAACCAAATAGTAATGTTTAACAATAAAGACAAAACTGCACTTACATTTTTACATGAATATATAACTTGAACTAAAAAAACTAAACTATTTAACTAAAAAAAAAACTGGGAAAAGAATTGTTCAATAGCAAGATTTAAAAAAAAAGAAATTAATATTTTTATTCAGCAATGAATAAATGCATTAATCAAATTACAGTAAAGACATTTATTATGTTACAACATATTTCTATTTTAAATAAATGCCGTTCTGTCTATTTAATAAATGCTGAACTTTTTATTCAAAGAATCCTGAAAAGTTTCCATAAAAATATTAAGCAGCACAACTGTTTTCAACGATAATAACAAGAATTGTTTCTAGAGAAGCAAATCAGCATATCAGAATCCTTTCTGAAGGATCATGTGGCACTGAAGACTGGAGTATTGGCTGCTGGAAATTCAGCTTTGGCATCACCGAAATAAATTACATTTAAAACTGTAATAATATTTAAAAAATGTTACCGTTTTCACTGTATATCTGTTCAAATTAGTGCAGCCTTGTACACTAATATGAACAGATCTCCTGGAAAAAACATAAACCTTACCAACCATAAACTTTTAAACAACAGTGTATGATATTAATCTATAATACATCTGTTATATAAAAGAAATTCCTTAATATTATATACACTGACTAAACATTTTTAGGCAGGAGTGTGTTTACTAGCATATTTTTGTCGTGTTTTACTGATGTTGAAATTTTGGTACACCCAGCAAGTGTGTGGTCCATAGTGTGTTTACCTGTATGTCTCTTATGAAAGACACAGTGACTCGTTCCTCAAACTCATTGAGTGGCGTGTACAAGTTGAGGATCTTCACAATCTGAAGTGAAGTAGAATAGCATCAAGTCAATGAAAAACAAAACAAAAAAATGAATAAAGAAAAAATGAATGCTAAATTTGTACCTGCTGTAAGCTGAGGGCGGTACAGAGCGAGCAAATGGCCTCTGCATCTTGGGAGGTCTTCTTCTTCACTTGCAGCAGCTGGGCGGCCTGGATAACAGGTTCCATGGTGGCTACGGCTCCACTCTGGTGCAGATTCTTTCCTCTCAGCCATTCCTCCAACTGACTGATGTTGTACCTGAAATGTCACCAATGAGATGGATGTTACGTTCATCTGAAGTCCTGAAGATTTAACAAGGCCACGGATTTCAAACGTGTATCAAACGTGTACCTGAGCTGCACGCCGGTACTCCAAGAGCAGACATCCTTGCGCAGCAGCAGGTTGTTGAGGGTCACTGCATTGATGGAGTAAAAGAGCTGGCGAACCACCTGCTGGCTGATCTCAGGGTCCAGGCCGTGGTCCGCCATGACAGTGTAAAACTGTCCCAGCTGCCTGATCAGGGCCTGTAGCGTGTAGCCCGCTGGACCTCCGCTCTCACAGTCCAAACTAGAGGAGCGGTTCCTGTAGCCCATGGGCTTCACTCCGGCCAGGCTGGGGATGCTCTCGCTCTCAAGCATGGCAGAAACTGACAAAACATTATGAACTATTAGAATGTGCAAACAACTCCATTTTTAGTGGTTATAGTGGTCTGGTGTCTCTCTGTACCCACCAATCATGGGTTGCATGATGCCTTCTGCTACTCTGACGAGCTGCTGATAGACCTGGATGGAGAGGTCACTCAGAACCTGCCGATACTCAGCCAGGTCAAAGTTCTTCAGGCAGTGCTCGTTCTGCTTGACAGTGTTCTGTGTCATGAACGCCTATGACAGGAAGCAACAGCCAAATCATACCAGTGATCTAGACGGGGTCACCTGAGGCTTAAAACCACACTTTTCAAGCATTATCTGTACTTAATGGCTGGTTAAATATGTTAAAGTGTGGTACATGGAACTGGCTCTTATACTTGCAGCTGAAATCATCACTGGACAAAATAAAAATCTCACCTCATCCCCGCTGTACTGCTTCAGACAGTGCAGAACTCGACTGGCATTTGCCAGCCAGAAGGAGGTCATCTCAAAGTCATCATTGTTTCTCTGGAGAGAAGATTAAAAAAAAGAGGGATGATGAAATCTTTATGGGTTTATACATTACTGTTTTCAAGTTTGGGGTCAGCAGGACTGAAGTTTTTTTAAAAGTCTCTTGTTCAGCTAGGCTGGATTTATTTGATCATAAATACAATAAAACAAAGTAATATTTTGAAATATTATTATAATTTAAAACATTGTTTTCTTTTTTTTTTTATATAATCTAAAAAAATTAATTCATGTGACGGCAAAGCTGAATTTTCAGCATCATTACTCCAGTCTTCAGTGTCACATGACCCTTCAGAAATCATTCTAATATGTGACCCTGGACCACAAAACCAGTCATAAGGGTCAATTTTTTCGAAATTGAGATTTATACATCATCTGAAAGCGGAATGAATAAGCTTTCCATTGATGTATGGTAGGTTAGGATAGGATAATATTTGGCCGAGATACAACTATTTGAATATCTGGAATCTGAGGGTGCAAAAAAATCAAAATATTGAGAAAAGCGCCTTTAAAGTTGTCCAAATGAAGTTCTTAGCAATGCATATTACTAATCAAAAATTAAGTTTTAATATATTTACAGTAGGAAATTTACAAAATATCTTCATGGAACATGATCTTTACCTAATATCCTAATGATTTTTGGCATAAAAGAAAAATCAATAATTTTGACCCATACAATGTTTTTTTTTGGCTATTGCTACTAATATACCCCTGCTACTTAAGACTGGTTTTGTTGTCCAGGGTCACATATATGCTGGTGCTCAAGAAAAATTTCTTTTTTATTATCAGTGTTTAAAAATGGTTGTGCTGCTTAATATTTTGGTGAAAACTGTGAAATAGATTTTTCAGGATTATTTGATGAATAGAATGTTAAAAGCATTTATGCTAAACAGCATTTTTTTTTAACATTATAAAATGTATTTACTTTTAAACTCTGCATTTATGTTAAACAGATCATTTCTTTAACATTATAATTGCCTTTATTGAAACTTTTGATCAATTTAATGCATCCTTGCTGAAGTATTAATTTCTTTAAAAACAAACAAACTTTCGAATAGTAGTGTAGCTGGTTTGAATTCTGGGAGTGTGTCGATGTGATTACATACAGTATACATACCTTCAGGACCTTTTTGATGGCATTGATGGTTGTGGTAAGGAGTGAATGAACTTTCTGGTCGTCGTTGATGTAGTCGGCATGACGGATACACATGAAGAGGATGTAAGCAGGGAGGCAGGGGACTGTGGCCGACACCGCATTGGGCTTCATCTCTAAAGACAAGACCTGTGCATTTAACATAGCTACAGGACCTCCACATTAAAACATGCCTGCATGTAACTACACATACCTGTAATTAAAGTCTTGACCAGCAAGGCCTCATCTTCTTTGTAGTACTCCAGCATGCCTTCAAAGTCCTTTTCTTTCCTCTGTACGGTGACCTGACGAGTCAGCTCTGGTCTGCTCTTTGTGGCCTGAGACACTGTATGAACAATAACAGCACATCAGCAAATGGCAATAAGTACAAGACAACGGTAAACACACAGATGAAAGACAGATGTTTAACCTTCCAGCTCTTGCACTTTCTTCATATAGATCCTCAACTGCTTCTTCAACTTCTTCTCATTCTTCTCCAACTTCTCAACAAGTTCCTTCAGATCCTGGAGAACAATAATCACCATCATCTTGAGTGAGAATGTCAATATTGTGTTGGATATGAACCATTGGCTAAGTCTGAGGGCTCACTGAAAAACAATTGTGTTGTTTCCCAGTCAAAATAAGCAAATATTCCTTAAAACAAGATGAATTTAATATGTTTTAGCAAAATCGATTGTGCAAAATCAAATTTGTTTTTAGATCGTCTTGTTTCATTTTTCTTATCGCAATGAAAAACAGTTTATTTGTTTTATTTACCATAAATCTAACACAATTCAGAGATTCATGCTATTATAAACAATTAGCCAATAAGTTAAGAAAAAATATGCTTCATTCAAAATCTACAATCGATCTTGTTTTCAGTGTTCATTTCGTTGATGAAAAATATTCGTATATTCATCATTTTCGTAAACATTTTTTCACAGACAAAAACGAGATGACAAAATAGAAACTCTTTTTGAATGACAAAAACAATGACGAAAATCTCCTGACATTTTCGTCAAGGTATAAAAACAAGATGAAAATGTTAGGGAGGTATGACTGGATAGAGATCCAATCAGAACGAATCTCCTGCGTGGAAGGGAGAGTAGATGCGCACATTTGAACTGTAACTCTCTGATCATACGCTTGCATACACTTGCGGCACAGCTGATAAAACGTAAAAAAATGTCAGCGTCTGGGAATAAGAGAAGAGCAGACATATGGATAAATTTGAAAAGCGTGATGACGCGAAAGAGCACTGAATTCAGTCCGGTTTTCTGAGTGCACACAGCCGAAACCCGCACACAGAAAAGTGCCTCTCAAACAGCACACGACTACTGAATTCGACTACTGACTACTAAATTCGACTACTGACTACTTAACGGAGAAATACACACAAAGTCTCTTTTGACGAGTATTTACGTAAACACACCCAGTTACATCTCAGTGTAAACTGTTGGGAGAATAATCGCCAGTATATTGAATCTGTGCAATCAGTTTTAAAGGGGCAGCAGCCTTAATTTAGTTATTGTCTGTCTTTTTGTTAATGTATCAACAAAAGTGAGGAAATCACTCATTGCTCTTGACTGAATCACTTTAGTAGCTCTAATAAGGAACAATCTAAATTTAATTTATATAAATAAATATGTCTGCTTGAAAGAATGAAGGATGTTGCATACAAGTTGTTATAAAGAATGCATATTATAGGCCCTATAATCACTGGTATTTTATTGAAAAGAAGACCATCTTTTCATCCGTTCTTTTTTCTTTATGAAAAGTGTTTTTTTTTTTAGATAAAGACATGTTATGTGTCAGTTTAATCTTTGTCTATATTGCGTTCAAATCTTAATATCATTTATATTACCAGGTTAATAGAAAATTGACCATTTTAGAAAGACACTTAATAAAGGCATTACACTAAATAAACCCATTAGATTTTAAAGTCTCATGATATTTAGTCGACTAAAACTAGACTAAGAATAAAACAATTCAAATGACTAAAATATGACTAAAACTAAATGGTATTTTAGTCCAAAGACTATGACTAAAACTAAATCAAAATTTGCTGTCAAAATGAACACTGCTTGTTTTAGGTATATCTAGGCACTTAAAAAAAAAAATAAATAAAAATAAAAGGAAGACAATAATACTGATTACATAAATTCTATCAGACATAAGGTCTCACCAGGTTTTCGTTAGTGAGGCGTGTGATCTCCTGTTGCACGCTGAACTCCACCAGAGCATCAGGAGAAAGTGTGGAGAAGTGGTCCAGCATTTCCTGTTTCTTCTCCAGACTGTCCTTCAGCAGTTCGATTTGCGTGTGGAGAGCCTCTAACTCATCCTTGTGCTGTCGAGACTGTGTCTGCAGCTGGGCCTCCAGCAGCCTGAACACAAACATGCCATAATATGGTATAAGTGGGTGTAAACTGTGTATACACTTTGGTTAGCCCTCAACACACTTCTCAAAAGTGACAAAACTCAATATATGCCCAATGGTCCTTTACTGATTGAAAAACACTGACAGAAACAGAAGCCTCGGAAATCCAGTTAAACCTGGAGTGAAATCCAAGAAATGTAAAGCACAACCTGGCAACTTGCTTTAGACCCTGGTAGGCCAGGCCAAGTTCCCCATCTTCATTCAAATAACCCCAGTCTTGAGCTTTACTGGCATCCGAGTAACAGAGAGCCAAAGAGACAGAGGAGCGGCAGCAGACAGACAGGAGAGAAAGCAAAAGAGAAGAATGACAAGATGGCAGGGCCAGTTAGTGTAGCAAAGCAAGGTATGGCAGGTTAGATTAGTCTGTGAAGACGTCAGATTGAGAATGAGGGCACATCTGAATTACCCATCTCCATTTCACCCGTATTATCTTCAAGTAAAGAGGTCATGTAGCTGCTACAACTTTGGTTATTTCTTGAGGATATAATGTTTTTTTTTTTAGGTAAGCTGCCTGGACAAGTAATGTCTGCAAGAAGATGTGGCACTCACAGGAAATGAGAAATAGAGAAAGGAGGAAAAACGCATGCATGAGAAATCAGATGGTGTTTAAAGTGCCAAGTCCTGAGACCACAGAGTACGAAACGTATTCTTTCACAGGTAATGATGAGTACGTCATCTAACATCTGTCACTCTCCGTTTCAAAAGACCACTTTAAAAATGTGACAGAGAGAAAGTGTCATGAATTCAGAGCAGCCTGAATGGATATTGGACAGAATGAAGTTCAGATTTTAACAGTGCACTGGCCAGAGGTAAAAGGATAAAAAGCCAGAGATTAAAATTTAAATAGACTGTACTGTGGCACCTTTTTATTTATTGCACTATTAGAGTCCAAAATGAACACTCAGCGAGTGCCAAATGAGGGCAAAAAGTGTTTTTTGTGAGTTTGTAATAGGGATGGGCGCTATCTTATCGTTTGCGATATACCGGTAAAAATTCTCCAAGCGATAATAACGATAAAGTCTAGTTGTTGACATATTTCTGTGTGCGACTGTGTGGAGTGACGTGAAGGAAGGCGGACGTGAAATTGAGCAGCTCCTTCTACAATCTGGAACAGGTTTGGATAGGGCTGTACAGTGCGACAAAAATCGGTCTGAGCCTTGAGTAAATGTACTACAGTAGCACATGTGCGACACAGTTTTACATGTGTATGAGTCGTTTACAAACCTGTTGTCCAACAAAGATATTTTAATTTATTGACATGCTTTTTTTCCATATTAACTTCATAACAGTCGAGTGTTTTAAATATTTTATTTTTGTGATCAGATGTGGTTTCGTATCACAGAATAAGGCAGAAATCATACTATTTTATAGCATTATATACAGTGATAAAGGCTATGTCGATTAGTATTGCATTATAAATATATTCTATCCTTATAAAAAATACCCAAGATTGCTTGAAGAACACAGATATATTATCAGAAATTATCGTGATACATTTTTAAGCCCATATCGCCCATCCCTAGTTTGTAAAAAAGGTACTTGCCAGCTGGTCAGTAACTTTATATGGAATTGCAATTTAATACTTTGTTTACATCAAATGAGAATGATAGTCTGATCTACTGTTAAAAAATTTGGAGTCAGTAATTTAAAATATAAATATTTTTTAGCATTATAAAAGTCTTTACGGTCACTTTCAATTTAATTCAGTGCATTCTTGCTGAATATAAGTATTAATAATAAAACATTTTTTTTTTTTTAAATGTTAATGACCCTGAACTGTTGTGACGCAATTTGAATCAGTCATTTACTTTTTAGTTCAAATTTACCTTTAAGAAGCAGCAATTTCAAAACATTCAAAACTCCATGCCTGCATCTGAAAGCTGCAAAACCCTTCATCTAGTTGGTTTTAGAAGTATAATTTTGTTGCCTATAATATTCTAAAATGTCACTTTCAATTTAATTCAGTGCATGCTTGCTGAATATATATTTTTTTTTAAATGTTAATGACCCTGAACTGTTGTGACGCAATTTGAATCAGTCATTTACTTTTTAGTTCAAATTTACCTTTAAGAAGCAGCAATTTCAAAACATTCAAAACTCCATGCCTGCATCTGAAAGCTGCAAAACCCTTCATCTAGTTGGTTTTAGAAGTATAATTTTGTTGCCTATAATATCCTAAAATCCTGTGTGTGGTTAAAAATAAAAAGTGTCCGTTTTTTCCAATTTATAACTCAATTTGCACCAAGAAAAAAAAAAAGGTGTTATTTTAATTGGTTATCTCTAAAGCTCACCTTTGTTTTAGAGCAGTAGACATAATGCTGTAGTGCAACAGAATATAATAATATGAAACATGTCAGTTTCAATACCACTAGTATGAATGCAAAATAATTTTTCATGGCAAAAAAATTTGTATGGCCACTAAATTGTCTCCAACTTGCCATGAGCCAGTAGTGGTCTATAAATTTGACAGAAATATTGCAGATAACTTTTCAAATGTTAGCTTTGAGACTGTGAGTGCTTGTTTGAGGCAGCACTATGCTAATTCATGAGAAGTTATTGGCTCTCCAGTAATGTGGGTCAGAAAACGGAGGTATACTGCTGTAAATGAAAGCAGACTGAGCATGAAGAGCTGAATCAGAGAGCTGCTCTGGACTCAGAAGAACGGTCAATACCACTGGATTCAATCTTCATTAAAATAGACGAATGAGTATGTGGAGGAGAGCTGATGTCACTTTAAAAGCCTTTCATTAGGTAGATTGGACTGCCTTACTTCTTTAAATCAGGCGCATCACCAGTGTCCTCTGAGTCCAAGGGCTTCTTGATGTTGGTCCATTCTGATACATCATTGGAATCCTGTTTGAATGAAACAAATATATCAAAAGGAAACAATGAATGTATGTTTATAGATATTTTTGTGCACTGAAGCATTCCTGCACAGAGAAAAGAGTTTTTTCCAAGTGTTTTTTGTCTTATGGACTCTCCATTTCAGCTACTCATAAAATTAAATATAACAGTGAGAATGAGAAAAAGAACTTTCTTTCCGAGCATAATCAATGCTGACAATGATTGGCCCTCCTCAGCAGATTCAGAAAGGCATTACAAGGATATAAAGCCATTTTCACTAGCAGTACAGCTTCTGTAAAGCTCAGACACACCATCACTATTACACTGAACTTTCCCTGAACTTAAATAACTCTGAGCTCCAACAAAACCCATTATATCCCATCTTATCTAATGTAATGTCTCCATGCCTGATCGCTTTTATAGACGCTAAAGAAGTTTTCCATTCAAGGTACCCTGAAGCCTGATGGGATGCTAATGGATTAGAAAGTCTGATATGATAATGATATACTACAATAGCTTCATTTGGTAAGACAACAGCTGTAAAAAAGAAGCCTACAAAGGTCAAATTTATAAAATGAGGGGTGGTGATGTTTTTAGACTCACAATGTGGTTTATGTTCTCTGACTGCCTTGTGGAGTTCACGATTTGGGTCTTAAGCATAAGGACCTCCTCCTTGCGCACATCCAGCTCCTCATTGGCCGCTTTGAGCTGATTCAGCAGCAGGTTGTAGCCCTCTTGAAGCTCATTGGATGAGTTGTTATCGGAGGCCCTGTCGGCCACCGCTTTCCTCAACTCGTTCAGGTCATTCTTCAACTTCTTGTTCTCAGTCTCGAGCTCTTGCCGCTGTAAACAGAACAAATTTTATGAATACAGTCTGAAAAAGGGTAAATAGCCTGCATTTTGTACCACTTAAAGGATTTATTTTTAGTAAAAGCTATCAAAAGTAACCGGAGGCAAGAAGTTGTAAATAAGCCTGAACGAATGTGTGTTTGTGTGAGAGAAAGAATCTTTGAAACAGAAAGAGAGGGACTCACAAAAAATTAAAAAAAATCAAGCAATGCTGACTGCAGTAATTTTATCCAAGTGAATCTAACGCCCGTAGCTAAAGCTTTGATCAGACACACAAGAGCGTTTGAGCGCTGCAGAACAAGAACCATCAGCAATTATTATATAAGCTCACCGTGCAATACTGGGGTGCTTTAAGAAAACAAACAAATCAGTTATGTAATTCTACTGCCTTGAGCTCCACATTCAGCTGCACAGCTTCCAGATCAACTTTTGGCTCTGGTGTCTTCATTCTTGTACTTTGCTCTCTGGTCAGAGTCAAACCTTTTAAAGCTGTTAAACCAAGCCTGCTGTTGGGGTTTCAACACACCCTCATGCTCAGATAAATGACTGGTTGAACTGAAAACTGATTGCTGATATTAAAGTGTTAAGGGCTTGTGAGGTGTCCGATGAAGATCACAATCACATGATAGTAAAAATTAGATCTGACAAAAAAGCTTTAGGACACAAAGGAATAAATGTGATTTCGTATTAGCCACCTGCCTGTGTGCAGCTTCAAGACTAGTCCAAGAGTGTTGTACATGTATGAGTGTTGAGTGCAAGAGTGTTGTGCATATATGTATGTATAATTTATAGTGTATTATTATATTTAGATTTTTTTTTAATTAAAAAGAATAACAGATATAAAATGTAATATTTTATATATTAGATTATAATATTTTATAATAGTTCATTTTCCATCAAGTCTTATATATAATTTTTGATTTAATATTATATATATATACACATTTAATATTGCATTATATGTAATATTTTGTTATTATAATATATAGAGCAAAAAGTAAAATTTATATAAAAATGTATAGTCATGAATGTAATTTGAAAGAATGAATAATTATATTTGCATTTAAGCATTTCATAATACTATACACATACATCAATTTTTTAAACTTGCTTTTGATTTGATGTTGTTTGCAATCACTATTTTATCTCACGTTATTATGCTGTATCATTTTTACAGGAAATAAGAGAGTGCGAAAATTCAGAGGTAAGAACTTGTATCAAAATCTTTAAGGTCAAAAGACTATGTTGAGAAACAGAAATGTTTCATTGCTTTTGCTTTATATAGTAATTGCTTATTGCTTATATTATTTCTAGCCAGACAAAATAAAACAGAAGGTTGAAAAAATTTAATGTGATTGCTTTCCTGCCTCTGTGTGTTTTGACTGACTTCACGATATCAGATCAAGAGATCTATTAAGAAATCAACTGGATCTTAAAGACAATGCATCCTATTAAACATTCTGTCTATTCCACACAGCTGTGTTTTCATTTATGTCAAATTCAATGTCTATACCAAAGGCACTTTTCAAAGTTTGTCTGAACATTAAAGTGTTTAATTAACAAAATGAAGAATTTGAGAGTTTATGCAAATAGATTAACAAAAATAAAAGCAAAACATCATCCATGTGCCTTCCTGCCATAGTTCAACTCTCTAAAAATGCCCTGGTCTTAAATTTCTGCATCGTTCCACTCACCCACACTTTAACAGGCAGAGCGACCAGCAGCAGCAGCAGAGCGGCCCCAGTGCAGAACAAATCAATAAGCACCAAGACAGACATTTGACTGGAGGCAAAGCGGCATGATCATTACACTGAGCTGGACTGACTCTTACCTTCAGACTGTTGTAGGCCAGGTCTGCATTTATATCATCCTCTGACGTGGAGATCATGGGCTCATTTCCCTATAAGATAAAAGAATGAACGAAAAAAAATTGTAAACACAAGCTGACTGATAAAGCAGAGGACCATGCTGTTGCAAGTCCAGATGAGGGAACATCAGAAAAGATAACTGGTGTTTATGACCGCCTGGCTGTGTTGTAACCTACGGCCAAAAAGTGGGAAATGTTTAGCAGCCACTCGGGTTAAGTTCTGTTGTTAAAACTGTCATGAGAACATAAAGAGAAGAGTATCAACAATCAGCAAATCTCGATTATTTAAGATTATTTTTATTAACGCATACATTCACTACCTCAAAAACCCTATCAAATGATAAAACAGTCAGTTATCTTTCCTTTGTTGACATATTTCCAGTCAAAGCCAACAGACTTTAGTTTTAATGTCATAAAATATAAAAGTAAAAAATAAAATTATAAAATAAAAAACAAAATAACAATGATTACTCTCTTTATATATTTTTTTATTTTAAAAGTTTTTGTATTTAAAAAAAAAATTTTCTATTTTGTTTAAAACGGTTCTGTATTTTAAATTTTTTGTATTGTGAGAAGTGTGAGAAGTGTATGAAAGCAGAAAAGACATGACAAATAAACATGCCTTGCGTGTGCTCAGTTCCTCTACTTTCTCTAAATTGGTCTGCAGCCTCTTTCTTTCCTGCTCCAGCTCTCGCACACGCTTCTGTAACTTCATGAATACACTGAGGTCCATGGCAGCCTTCTCTATGCCCATCTCCTGCAGGAAGACAAACCAAATTGATGCTCATCCTGAAGTGTCTTTATACCCTTCTCAAAGGCTGCTGGTGTATATTAGCAGATCCAATTAAATAGCTTTACCTCCACCTGCTGGATGGTGTCATCAGTGTCTCCCACCTCTGACATACTGATAGAGGGGTAGTTGGAGTCCGAGCCCAGACTGCTCTGGTTAGAGGGGTTCCTCCGGTGGCCGGGATGGAACTAGAACCATAAAGATGTTACAGACAACAGTAAAAAGCAAATTCCAGAAGTTCAGACTCACTGTCAAAGCGTTACCTTCATGGAGGACATGTCCTCCTGCAGATTTTCGTATCTCTGCTCCAGTCTGGAATATTCTTTCACCAGATTCTGATATCGTTGCCTCTCCTCATCCAGTTCAACCTGCAGACGGATCTCTTTCTGAGACACATCACCTGCCTGACCTGAGAGACAAAACAAAGGCATTCACTCACAGGAATAAAGCAATGAGCCAGACAACACGCAGCTCCCATTCACCTGTATCAACTTTCACAAGCTGAATATTTCTGTGTCACGTGTGTGAAAAACGTATCTTTCTCATAAATTAGGATTTTTTTTATTCAGGGTATGAAAAACTGAAACCTCTTTTGATCTATTTTAGTTATGAGATCCCAGTTTATTTTACATTCACACTACAGGTTTTGTGTTACTGTGTCCAATTGAATATCAGCCAATGTAATAGTGATGATGATAACACTTTTATCAATCTTTTATTATTCTTCGGCTTGATTGACATTTTATCGATCAATAAAAGATCTTTATTACTCTGATGGACCTTTGAGCTTCTATGTGTAGGTTACAAAATGTTCTTGATTCTGTAATCCCAATAGAAATAAAATAAGCACATCCTCTACATTCAAAATGCATATTATAATCAAAACATCACCACTAACTTAAAGCAAACTCTTCTCAACTGTACTCAAAGTTGTATGTACAGTGTGAAAGCCTATAATCAGATCCTTTCTGAAAGAGCTATCAGACGTATGGCCTGATAGTAGTTTGATAAAGCAGCCATCCATAATTAGGAGATAATTATCATACCAAGATAATGGTATAATAAACCTGTGACATTGTTTCTTTTGACCCTTTTATTTGAAGCAATGACTTGAGGAACAAGTGAAGCTCCATAAAGACATACTAGAAATATGATAAATAAGATTTTTAAAAATGTTCCTTGTTTCTTTTTGTTTTAACTGTTATAGAAATTACAAAACAAAAGGGTATTTCATATGTTAAAACTGTTGGTTATCGAGAATTTTATCTGATTTATCAATGCCACATGAAAGCTTGATTGTGCCTCCAGCTTTAACCATACTATTCACATGAATTGCACAAGACTTTTCTTTAAAGGGATAGTTCACCCAAAAATGAAAATCCTGCCACCATTCACTCACCCTCATGTTGTTCCAAACCTGACTTTCTTTCTTCTGTGGAACATGAAAGAAGGTATTCTGAAGAACTGCTTTTTTTCCATACAATACAAAATGAATGGGGCCCAAAACAAAACTGACTGGACTCCATAGACTTGCACTGTATGGACAAAAAGTTTTTTTGTGTGTGTGTGTGTGTGTGTTCAGCAAATGAAAAGGAAGTCATTTGGAATGATGTGAGGGTGAGCAAATGACAGTCACCATTATCATTAGTGAAATTAGTGACTCTTTAGATTGGCCGAAATAAAGACCAGAAATAAAAGTTCTGAGAGAAAAATTTGTTTCCTACTAAAGACACTGTTAACAAAAACTGATGAAAGTCGCCAAAACAATCACTGCATTCATAACAGTCCTTTAAATAGTGTTTTGAACAACTTAAACAGCCTCGACAGCAGAACAGCACTGAGGAAAATAAGTGCGGGACAAACTCGTTAAAACGAAATTTAGAAAACAGAAAGCATATTGAGACCAAACCTCGGGTTTCAAATAGCATTCTCGCATGTGAACCGGCTTGATACAACGGTCAGCTTTTAGTTGTGCAGGTAAAGCAGAAGTGTCACATTCCTCTACTGAAATCCAATGCAGTTCCTGTCTCTCTCGTCCCACTTCTGCACACAGACTCTCTTGTGCGTCAAACAAAACCAGCCCAGCCCTCCAGGCAAGCCACACATCCTTTCGCTCCTCATACTCCCTTCCTCCAGATGCTCCGAGTGTGCGTGTGACTCTGAAGCATGAAACTCACCCTGATTGGAGGTCTGGATTCTGCGGTTCATCTCTTCTTTCTCCTTCTTCAAGAACGTGTTCTCTTTCTCCAGCTCCTCCACCCTCTGCAAAAGGAAGGGAAAGTCACACCACCCTTTCATCTCAGACCATCAGATAAACAAGTTTAACTGTAAGCAAGCCAGTTCAGATTATACACAGTGGGGTCCACAAGTTTGATTTTTTTTTTTTTTTGCATTTCTCTAATTTAATATAAAAAATCTTTACACAAATATAAATTAGATTATCAGCATACCAATTTTGAGTGAAAAGCTGAATTAAAATCAAATTAATAATAATTTCAAACCGTCTTATTATTTGATATGTACCTTTTTGTGAATATATATACCTTACTGTTTAAAAGTTTGGGGTCATTAAGATTATTTTCAAAGAAATTAATACTTAAGTCATTAAGAACGCATCAAATGGCATCTAAATGTATCAAGGTTTTCAATAAAATATTAAGCAGCACAACTCTTTTCAACACTGATAATAATAAGATGTTTCTTGAGTATCAAATCAGCATATTAGAATGATTTCTGAAGGATCGTGTGACACTGAAGACTGGAGTAATGGCTACTAAAAATTCAGCTTTGCCAACAAAGAAATAAATGACATTTTAAAAACATGTTCAAATAAAAAAAAAAAAAACAGTTATTTTTAATTGTAATTATACTACTGTTTACTGTATTTTTGATCAAATAAATGCAGCCTTAGTAAGCATGAGACTTTCAAAAACATTAAAAATGTTACGATCCCAAACTTTTGAAAGGTATACAGTATACACATACATACATATACACACACACACACACACACACACACACACACACACACACACACACACACACG